ACTAACATTTTACAATTAATCTTCTTCCATTTATGAAATGTTAAAAGCAATGTCTCCATAACAACAAGGCTTATTAAATAGTTGTCAAGATGGATAAAAATTTTAAAAAAGTTGTAAAATATTACTTCTTATGTAATAAAAAGTTTTTATTAAAAATTAAAAATAATAAAAATATCGAAATATGTTATAAAATAGTTTTATGTTATTGAATAAATTAAAAATTTAATTAAAAATGTAATAAAGGCGAAATTCTTTTAGTTATTATTTAATAAACTTACATTCAGATGTGTATTTTTAATTTAACAAAAGAGAAAAATCCGTCTGAAATTAAAGTCGAGACCATTAGATGAGAATATGAAGGAAATACAAAAAGACATTATTGTTAGTTCAGCCGGACAATACTATTCATTGCAAACTCTTTTAGAGTGGTTAAACGGGCGATGACTATTTCCTTTGACGGCCAGATATAAATTATGACTGGTACTTCCCTTCGCTTATTCCTTGTATGTATTATAATGGGTATGGAAAGGCGATATCGATGGGAAAATCTCTCAATTCGATTTTAGCAATACAAAATAAAAAGAAGAACTTTAATATCTCAGCAATCATTTAATGAATGCAACAAGGAAGGAATCTGATCAGTGTGCAAAAATAACAAGTTGCTTTAAGTCCACAAACAACTAAATAGACTAACAAAAATTAAAAAGCAAATTAATTGTCAAATTTTACAGTAAAATAAATTAAAATAAAAATTTTTAAAATAATTTTTGTAAAAGTTTTTTAAAAGGAACTTTTGATTTATTAAAAACTTAAATTTTCTTTAACATTTGTGACGCAATGATCAACGGTTTTATTTTAAATTTTATCATAAAATGAAGAAAGACATACTATTCTTTTTTGAGTACTTTGTGTTGACTGATTAATTAATTTTTAAATTTAAATAAACTTTTTGTCAAAGTTTATTTTTAGGGAGGGGAGGGGTTTTGAATTTAAAATAAATATTTTATTGTTTTAGTAATAAATAAATATAAATATAAATTTAGTATTGTGTCTCAAGTAAAATTTTAATTATTTTATTTGTTTCACTTAGTAATTAAAAAAAATAATGAGGAAATTAAATAATTTAATATTTTTTTATTTTTTGACAAAAAAGAGTAAAATTAAGGATTCCAAATAAATTAACAAATGATTATTTTATTAATTAAACATTGAGGAAGATTCGAATAGTTTTAGGCAAATTTTGATAAAAAAAATCACAAAAATTCTTTGATTATGTATTATAATTAAATTTATATTTCACCATTTACCTAATTCAGAAATTGAAAAATTATTTAAATTTAAACTCGAAATTAATGTTTTACTGTTTTAAAAAATTCTTTTGAATTAATTTTTATACATATTAAAAAAATTCTTCTTTAATTAATTAGTTTAAACAATTTTATATTAATTAATTATTTTTATATTTTTTTCCTTGATTTATGCACCTAATATTTTAATATAAATATTTTCTGCAAAAGATTGTTAAAAATTTTCTGTTAGAAAAAAATATTTTACTCTGCTTAAATTTAAAAAAATATTTAAATTAATTTTTTTAAAGCGTAATATTTTGCATAACATATGTATATTTTTATATTTTTGTAAATAAATAAAAATACTAATTCCTCTTTCAGCTGTTATTTTATTTGGTACATGACTTATAATAATATGTATTTGTATAGGTAGCTAGTAAATAAATATAAAGAAATATTTTATTAAATTCAAAACAAAATTCCTTTAAAAACATTCCTTTTTAGTTATCTTTCTTTCTCGATAGGAATATTTTTAAAAATCTTTGCTGAAAGTTTATTTAAAAATAATTAGCATAAATTTCTTTGACAAATTAAATTTTCTAACTAAATATTTAATTTAAATAATCGTTTCTTGTTTCTTTAAATTTTTATTTATTTTTATTTAAAATTTTTATCAATAAAAAGACTTCCTTAATTTAACATTATTTTTAAATATTTTACTAATTTTCATTTCAAAATTAACATTTTTTGCATAATCAAATACATCTAAATTTTTGTGTGTAAATCTTTTGTTAAATTGATGTTTGTATACGGAGAGAGGGGAAGGAAATGTCCCAATTTTTTTGTTCAACTAAATTTTATTTTATTTTATAAAAAAATGTTCACATTTTACCTCTTAACTTTGAATATTTTTTTAATTTAAAAATTTTCATTTTTAATTATTTATTTAAACAAACAATTCAATTTTAGTATTTTTCTTATTTTTTTAAAGTTCAAAATATTTTTTTAAACTAGAAAAAAATTAAATGGAAGATATTGTATTAGATGATAAAGAAAATAAAAATAAACAGAAATTTGTTAATACTATTAAAAATGAAAGAAAAATTCAGGTAAAAATGTTTATTTATTTAATTTTAATTTACGCCTCAAAATAGGAGTCAAAAATAAAAGTCTAATTATCACGATTTCACTTTCTCTTTTACAAATTATTTTAAACTAGATGGGGAATTTTTGAAAATTAAAAGAGCCCAAAAACAATTAAATTTAAAATCACATCTTTTATTAAATAATTTTTTAAAATTTTTATTTTAAAAAATATTTGTATAATAAAACATTAGTGATTAATGATCAAGGAAAATTTAAAAAGAAAAAGGATTCATTTCACCAAATTTATCAAAAAGGGATTGCCTTTTTAATAAAATGAAAGATAGAAAATTTTATTACTTTCAAAAATTTGAATAACATACCTATGTATAAGCAAAAAAATATTTAAAGTTAAAATAAATATTTTTATTTTATTTAAGTTAAGGTTGGAGGTTTTTTATCCAATAAATAAATTCCTTCAATTATGTACATTAATTGCTAAGAAATTTTATTTTTCTCCAAATTAGTACTTCTGGCATTTCGTGATAAAAACAAATGTCTAAATATACAAAATTTATTATTAAAAGTTTTAAGGATTTTATTAATGAATCTTTAATTATTTTTTAAATTAATTAAATTAAATTATTTTTATTTAAAATAATTTAAAAAAGTTAAAAAAAACTTTATTTCATAATAAACACAAACTTATTCCATAATCTTCACATAACCACATCATAAATATTTCCGACAAGTTTATAAACATGTTTATTTGCTTTTTAATGCTTTAAATTTTATTTATTTATTTTTATTGATTAAAATTATTTTTTGAAAATTTTTTTTAATTTTTAAAATTTTTAGCCAAAATCTTCCTTTTCTTGTCCTCTCTCAATGATTGAATTTTTGTTATATACTCGAGATTTTACATTAGCTGCAGCCTGCGGAGTAATTTCTGCTAATTTCAATTTGTATATTGGAAAGTCTGATTTTTTTAAATTTTTAAATTTAATTTTAAATTTATTTTTAAACAAGAATTATTCAAAAAATTAATTTTTTAAAAATTTAATATTTTTTTCAGTTATTTAACTTTTGTTGTCACAAGCAAAATCTCACCTAATCCAAAAACTACATTATTTTCTTGTGTTCTAGATTTACTTATTCTTGGTTGTTTACTTCCTCAACTTTCTTTTTTACTTTTTATTTCTTTAAGTAATTCAACAAAAAATTCAAATAATTTTGAATTTAGAAAGTAAAATTAATTAATTAATTAAAAATATTTAAAAATATTTTTTAGAGCTTTGGCAATTTTAATTAAAGATATAATATTCTTTTTGTCAAGTATTGCTATTGGGTTTTATCGTTCTACAATACTTACTGCCCCTATATTAATTACTCCAATTTTGGTTTTTATATGGACTTTTATAAGCATTAAAGTAAAATTATTTATTTAAAAATAAAGTAAATACAGTCGTTATAAGTTTAAGATAAATCATAACTCCCTCCCTTTTTAAATAAATTTATGAAAATTAAAATTGGTTGGGGTGTCGGGGGGAACTTTTCTGAAGAACGGGAATGTCAAGGAATGGACTGTAAAGTGCCGTATTTCCTCTAATTGAGTGGCGTCTCTATTTGAACGGCAGTCTCTAATAGAGCGGCCCTCTTGGAGGGAATTGATAAATAGAGCGGCAGCCGCTCAATTAAAAGAAATACGGTATTTCGGTCTAAAAATTCAAATGAACTTAATAAAATTATTAAAATTTAAATTTCATATTTCTTGTTTAGGTTCAAAGTCTCGAAAAAATCATGTCCAAATCATCATCTCTCCGATACTTCAGACTTTCTGGCCATTTATTGCTTTTCTTTATGAATATAAGCCTTGGAGGGCTTTTTGGCACAAAATTAGTAGATTTACATTTATTAAAATATCCGGGTGATATTTTTACAATTGTTATTGGAATTGGTACAAGTTCTATACAATTAGCCAATGCCTACATTAATTTTATCCCATTTTTTAACAAAAAATTTATAAAAACTGAAAGTACACAAAAAATTTTAAAAAATGGTAAAAATTAATTTAAAATAAATTAATTGAAAAATATTTATATTCAGATTTGGTGGAAAATAATTTAAATAAAAAATGTGTAGTTTTTACGGTTAATGAAAATTTAGAAGACAGCAATAATATTGAAGAAAAGCCTAAATTTTTAAATGTAAATAGAAATTTTAATTTTTTTAACAAAAAAACAGAAATGTTTAGTTAAAAAACTTATAAAGGTCTACAAAATATTTTTTTGATTACCTTAGAATGGAAAAATTTATATTACATATGTATGTACCAGGGATCGCGCCGACTGAAAATTTAAAATTCCCAAATTTCGGGAATCGTGAATCGGGTCGGCGCGATCCCTGATATGTACATATAACCGAACTTAAATAAATTTTAAACAAAAACACTATATTTATTTTTATATTTTTTAGAATATAATTATTTGGCTACGTTCACAATTATTATTAATAAATAACTGGCCTATTTGTTTTATTTTTGGATTGATTGCTTGTTTAATACATGCATTCGGATATCCCGTTTTTACTCGCGACACAGGGCTTTTCTTTAGCGTTTTTGAGGATTTTATGGGTAAAATATTAATTTTAAATTAATTAGAATATATTTAAATTTAGATATTTCAACAAATTTATTTAAAAAAGTAAAATGGATTTGTTTTGTATATGGAACTATGGGAATAATTGTTTTTGTATCCACAACAATTTGGGTAAGAGATTTTATTGAGAAAATTATTGAAAGACTTGTACTCGTTAATGAATATTGAAGAAATAAAATTATTTGAAAACCTCCCCCTCCCCCATCCTAACAAATCAAAAAATTGAAAACGATCAGTCGGGGATGAGATGGTCGATCAGTTAACGGAGAGCACTGTCAGGGTCAATTCCCATCTGATATTTTGTTATTTTCTGGGATGGGCTGAAAAAACTTTAATTTTCAGTTTAAAAGAACGTTGTTTTAAACTGAAGGTTATTTTATTCCTCCTCAATTAAAAAATTTTTTTTTGTTTCCTCGGTCACTCTCTTTCAATTCTTTATTTATTTATTTAATTTTATCAATTTTAAATTAAAATAATTTCTAGAATTGTATTTTTGCAAATATGGGAAATAAATTATGTCAATTAATTGAAAATAAAAATGAAATTAAAAGAATTAATTTAAATAATTTAAAAATGGTATAGTATTTATTTAAAATAATTTTTGTTTAAAAAATAAAATACTAAAAAGGTCCCAATATTATCAGCAGAATTATATTATGGAATTTTTTGTATATTAATTTCTATATGCTCAGCTTTACAAGGAAATAGATTTATGGGGTTATTAGCTGTAATTGTTTTTACTTTTCAAGTATTTTTACAACATTTTATTTTTCACAAATCAATTAATGGAAAACAATGGAAATTGGTTGGGAGGAAATAATTTTTAAATAAAATTTAAATAATTCTTTAAAGGGATTAGCTTTTGCCTCAACAAATGGGTTGCAACAAGCAAGTCAAGCAATTGCTTATACTGGTGGATATTTACTTGTACAAAATGGATTGGTACAAGCTTTGAATGTTTTTAAGTAAAAAATTTTTTTAAATAAATTTGGGGATTTTAATTAAAATATTTTAATGTAAACAAATAACCTTCTAATTAATTATTAAAATTTAGAATAATCCAAACAATGTATTTGGGTAGCTCTGGATTAACTTCACTTTTGTTTCTTTCAGAGGATTTTACTAAAACTACAAAAGAGTTGAGATTAATAAAATTAAAAAATACTAAAATTGCTCCAAACGATAATAATATTGATGAATTATCATAATTTTTATAATATATTCTTAATAAATTTTTGTTTTGTTAAAAATATATGTAGAATAATTAATTTATTTTATAATTTATATTAGGGATTGTTGTCGTCCTGTTATAACTGATACCTTTTTGTTTTCGGTTATGGCCGGTTCCTAATAATTAGATAGCACTGAAATTTAAAGTTTGTTTATTATAAATTCGTTAACATCAAAAGCTGCAAAAAACTTTTTCCAGACTTTAAATTAATAATTTTTATTTAGACGTTTAATTCAATTTCCACGCATCCATTTCTCTATTGGATATATCGATTTTAAAATTCTATCAATTACATGCGCGCCCAGCCTCGCATGCCATTCATTCCCCCCATTAATTTTATATTTTATTGAGTGAATTTTTATAATTTTTTAATTAATTTTAATTTAATTTTTAATTTAAATTTTATAATTGTAAATTAAAATAGACAGAAATTAAAATTATTTATACAATATACATTGTTTTCTCGATTAAGTACCTCCTTCCTAATAATCTAGTCTTTCGAGGAAATTTATTACTAAATTATAATTGTTAAAATTTAAATTGTAAAGTTTTATGTATTTAGTTTGTTAATGACGTTAAAATTGTTTTTGTGGATTGTAACCATTTTTTCTTTCATAAATTATGGAATAACAGATTTAGAGGATTCCAAAATTGTTGGCAAAACTCTTGCCCAACTTTTACACGAAAAAGAAAGTAATGAGGGATCTGATCATTCCGAACAGAAAACTAAAACTATAGCTTCATTATTCAAAGAGGAAGAAAATGAAAAATTTCTAAAGGAAGAAGTTTCCACTAAAAAAGATTATGGGAATAAGGGGAATTTGAAATCAAGTTTGAAAAAAGAAAATGATGGTAAGGGGTTTTAATAAGAAAATAATTTTTGATGATAAAAATAAAAAATTTTCATAATTTTTTATTGTATTTTTTAGATATATTTTTTTATATATAAATTATTATTTAGGTCGAGAGAAGAAAATAAAAAAAGTTAACTTTCAACATAATATTGCTACATATCATGAAGCAATTGATCCCAAATATGGTAAAAATATAATTTTGTTATTTAATATTCTCAATTATTTTATTAAACTCTTTTGGAAAATATATGATGGAGGGAATTCTATCTATAAATTAATAGAAATCTTTACGCAATCCCGCATTCAGGTTCCAGATTGGCACTGGTTTTTATTTCAAAACTGAATAAAAATTTTGGAAATGTTCGGATCCGAGTTTGAAATTGTCAAATACTCACACCTCCTAAAATAATGTTAAATATTTATAATTTAAAGATAATATGCCCGAAGTTTGTTATAAAGATCCGCCGTTCCTCTATGAAAATGATGAAAAAGATGAGGAAAAGGAAGAAGATCATGAAAAAAATATTAAAAAAAGAGAAAATTATCTAAAACTTTCAGTTAATGAAAGATTGAAAAAATATTCGAAAAATATAGCACCCTTGGAATATACCGTTAATTTATTAAAAAATAAAGAGAAACAAGAAAAACTTGCTGCTTTAATTGGCAATAAAAAATTTAATCAAATTCTCAAAAAATTTCAGAACAAAAAAGAATTTTTAGCATTAAAGTCTAGTATAGAAGAAAAATTGGAAACGGCTTCAACAAACAAGGTTCTTTAATTACCCCATAATTAGTTTGTTTGGGTATATTTTCTTAACTTCATTATCCACCGAAAAAAATAACCTGTGAAAACGAGCATTTACAAAACTTCCCATTTGTAGCAATTTATTTGGGTACTATTATAATTAAAAAGATATTGTTGTATATTATACAAAATATTATTTATTAATTTTATATTTACGCAGGTGCCATTTTTCGACCCGTTAAAGAAATTAAAAAGCCAGAAAAAATATTTGGATGATCTTGTCGTGGCGGACTATATGCGTTTACTCTTTGCCGTTGAATTGTGTTCAAAAATTGAAGATATTTATAAAAACAACAATGAAGATAAGGATTATATGAAAAAGTATTGTGCTGATCAAGTTAATGAAAATTTTATACAAAAGTTTCATGAAAAATATTTAAATTTTTTAAAACCCAATTTTTAAAAATATTCGTAAACGACAAAGTCTAAAACACCGTGAGAATTGTATATATGTATGTATTACTCCGTTACACCCCGAGAATTGTCATTAAAGAAAGTACCCATTTTACAATTATCATATATCATCTATTATAACAAACAAATTAATAGAATAACAACTTTCTAACAGTTTCCAAACTTTTTTGAGCATATAAAAAAGATTAAGAGAATATATGGTAACTAACTGGCATTTTTAAGTATTTTTCTCTTTATTGTCTCCTAATCTTTCCTGTCTTTGTTTGGTTTTTTTCATATTACTTTTTTATCAAACATTGTTTTTAAAAACGTGTATAAAACGATTACTTGTCCAAGTATTATTTATTTATTCGAAAAATCCTTCGGTTAACCGTTAGGAATTTTGTTTCGGTTTGTAGCTGACAACCCTAACTATTATACAATTTTTAGGAGTAAATGAGGGAAAAGGCTATTGTTGTTAAGTTATTTTTCTCTACTATTAGAATTAAAATAAAATTAAAAAAATTTATCACAAAAAAATAACAGAGATCATTGAGATTTAAATATTTAAAATACAATTTTTACAATAAAATTATTTTTTTTAAAGAGGACTAGGATATCTTTTAATTAAAGGATGTAATTGTTGCTGTAAATTTATTTTATTTTCTGTTGAATATCCATTATCTAAACGTTGATATATCATTCCATTTTTTCTATTTTCATTTAACTTAAAAAATTAAATATTTAATTTTAAATAATAAGAATAATTATTTTTTTTACTTTATAATTTTTTGATTGAGAGATTAAATTGTTGTTAATATTTTGATTATCAAAAATAAATAAATTAATATTTTTTTGATTTGTTAAACAATCAGCAGAATGTAAATCTCTAGAATTAGCTGAGGTAGATTTTCTGGCTCTAAAATTTGAGAAAAAAATTATTTTAATTTTTTTATAAAAATTATTAACCCAATCGAGGTAGTTGTACTTCGAATAGAATGAAAGGAAGAATTTGGTTCATATATTCTTGCACTTCCATTACTTCCACTTCTATAAATTGTTGATGAAGGTAAAGCAATTGCTGGAATTATTGCCCCAGATTCTCCAAAACAAGTCCCATTTCCAGGTGTTAAAAGAAATCCAGCCATTTTTCGTTTTTCGGTTTTGATTCCATTGTTGCCTCCACTGCTTCGGAAAATGCCGAAACGATAGAGGAAAGGATTGATACATGTACTGGAAATTTAAATAAAAAATATATAAATTATTGAAAGTGTAAAGTTTTGGGGGTAAACTGTAATATACCAAGAGATGTCCTTTCTTTTAACCAAAAAATATTAGGTATTTCAGATACAATCCCCTCTAATCATGTCAAGAAAAATAAGCCTTTATTTAGCTTTTTATCACCTTGCAAGCAAAATTGATTGTAGCCAATTAAAATTAGAGGCCATTTTTTCACATTTAGAATCCGCTTCACAAACAACACGTAAAAGGGCCATTACTTGATAGGGTAACCAACTTAATACAAAAGCACAAACAATTGCTGCTGAAGCTTTTAAAAATCTTAATTTTGTATTTTGTTGCATTCTTCTATGTTGGTCTGTATTTGCGAGAGAAATTCCTTGACGGAGAAGACTTGCACCTTGACTACGGAGAGATAAACCGATTGAAACATAACAAAAAAGAATTACACCCAAAGGCAAATAAAAAGTTGTTATCACGTGGAAAAAGTGAAAACTAAAAATAAAAATAATTTTTTAAAATAAATATTTTTAAAGAAAATTATTTAAATAAATTACTAATTAATTTTAATAATTTATTTTTATTTTAAATTTCCTACCCCATAATTTGTTCGTTAGTAAAACCATGTAGATGATAACATTGCATAAGAACAGGTTTAGTGCGTGGAATGGTACGAGTGCCACGGAATATTGTCATTGGGGCAGCACAAGCAATTGCGAGAATCCTTTAAAATATTTATAATTATTTTTAACTTCAATTATTTATTTAATTACCAAGCTATCGCTATTAGCCAAGTAACTCTTTTATTCCCATTTGTCACACTTCCAAGAGGCATTCTAATACAAAATAACATATCTATAGCAATTGCGGCAACCATATTTGACCATAAATGGAAGGGAAGTGTTGAAAGAAAAGAATAGGCTTTACACATTGTGTTGCCTAATGTCCAATGAATATTCCAAATCCAATAAGTTCTCCATAAACAATAAATACAAAGAACCTTTAAGAATTTTAATTTTATGAAAAAAATTTTTTTTATTGAATGTCTAACCATCAAATGAGCAATCAACAATTGCCTGGAAAGACGAATTAGTCTCATTTCACCAGAATGTGCTTTTGTTCGTCTAAAAATATTTTACATTTAAAAAAATAAAATTAATTCAAAAATGAATTTTCAAAATTTAAATTAGGCAAAAACTCTCTTTATAAGAGACCCTAATATGGGGATACCCAAAGTAAGATTGGAGCGGCTATAATAAAAAAAAAGCTTCATAAAAATTAAGATTAAATTATGTTTTAGACGTGTAGAAGAACTTCTATGCGAGAATCTTTTATTTATTTTGTTAAATTTGGTTGTGAATAAATAATTAAAGCTTGTTAACAAATTCTTAAATCGAAGGTTTCCTATAATTATTCACACAAAATATTTCTGCCTTTTTGTCCCCAGAATTTTATAAATTCTTAACTTAAAATAAAATTTACTTTTTATAAAAATTCTTTAAAGAAATAGCATTCAAAGGCGCTCCGACAGCAAAGAAACACATTTGATAAAGCATTTCTACCAATTCGGACATTGAATGGACTGACCAAAGTTCTGATTCGTCAATAGAATCAGCTGGGGGCATAACCATTATTTGATGGTTTTGTTGAATTTGTTGTTGTTGATTTATTAAGGACATACTTGAA